GACACCAACCGCCCCCCCAAAAAATAGCAGTAAACAGAAAACCCCGCCGGGCCCACGAAGCCGCGCCAACACCTACCCAAAAAAAAAAACGGCCCTTAACAAAAAACCACGCCGGGCCCAAGGTGCACCGGGCCCACGCGGGAAAGGTCTCAGCGGGACGCGTCATGCGAGACCCGCGTTTTGCTTTAGAGTATTAGGGATAACTACGGCCTTTTGGACATTGATTCTTGTCCACTCATTCATTCATTGTTATTCCATTCAAATAAGAGTTATGTGAGGGATGATGATGGCGGTAGACAGGAGGAAACATTGATCTTCTCTTCTTCTTCTTCTTCTCTTTCTTCTTTATTCTCTTATTTTCTTGGTATCATTCCACTTCTGTGAAGTACAATGAATGCCATCTTCTCCAAGTTAGGTTTTGCATTAAAAATTAGGCAGCATCATAACAGGACTGTTCTTCCATGCTTCCACTGTCTGTCTTTGATGTCTAGCCGGTACAGTCGGTTCAGTTGATAGCACTTATTTCTCAAGCTTCTAGTCTACAGTCGGAAGGTTAGCAGTTGCAGAGCAGTACGGGCATCGTGCTTCGGTTTCACCGAACACAAGCCAACCCAACCATCCAATTCATTCTGAACTTATAGGCTAAGAAGGAGGGAAAGAGTTCCGCTCATCAGCATGTGATGGCAATACAGGGGTCCAACCCTCGCTGACTTCTGCTGCCGACATCATTGTACGTGTATCCCCCGTTTACTTTATCTGATCTGGTTTGTCAGGCGCCCAGCTGCACATGATTTTCAACTGGTATCATAAGTTTTCAGCTGTGTGTTTTTTTCAGAATCCTCGCCAAAATCCTCGGCAATAACATCAGGAAAACATAATCTATGCCATAAGGCTGAGCATGCATCCGTCTTATTCAAGGCATGAGGGGTGGAAGAGTGGTTGGAACCGCAGAGCAGCTTGCTATGGGATCAGCTGCTACTGAATATGCAACAGTGGAGGAAAGAAAGCACTGCTCATGGCACTGGGAAAGAAGGTTACCTCCTTCCACGGCGGTTATCCTTTTTTTCCTTGAAGAAGACAAGCATTCCCCAGGACCGAGGAGGACATTTAGAAGATTCTGAGTGACATAAACACATAATCTTCTGCAAAACAAGATGGAACTGATACAGAAAAAGGCTGTCTTTGGTTGAGACATGGAACAGAGGCGATGGTGAGGTTATGCCAAGAACTTACATCAACAACTCGATGTAGGAAAAGAAGCATGCTTGTTGCATTGCAGTTCTGCCGTGTAGCAGTCATTAGATACAAATTGTTGTGCTGTATAAAAAGGTATGTGACACCATCATCAAAAATCACTGGTGCATGTGACGAAGGATCACCCTGAAAAACACAAAGGAGTGCAAAGAAAAAGAAGACACAAAATAGCACAGCCGAACATGCACAGATTAGCCCAATCAAAAATTCAAAACAATCAGAGGAAACAATAACACCACAATTCTAACCCCAAATACTCAACCACTGATCACCACCTACTCATCTCTCTCTCTCTCTCTCTCTCTCTCTCTCTCTCTCTCTCTCTCTCTCTCTCTCTCTCTCTCTCTCTCTCTCTCTCACACACACACACACACACACACACACACACACACGCACACACACACAGAGCAATCATAGTTCAGCCGCACCTCACCACCCCCCCCCTCTCTCTCACACACACACACACACAAATTCACTCACTTGGACTGACAAACAGCACAGTATAGCAGCAGCTCGCCTCCCCATCTCCTGTCTTACCTCGCTCACACACACGCTCACACATACCTTCCTCCCTTCCGCTTTCTCCCCCTCTGCAGTACGTTCTCCATTTCCAGTTCCTTAAACTACTTGGTGCTTGTAGAACACAAAGGCAAAATGTGAGCTTGCTCTCTACGGATTCGACCTCAACGAAAGCAGGCACGACCACCGCTCCCTCCAAGTGAAGAAACCAATTGCAAAACTCCCGTTGTCTACTTCCCTGTGGTCGGTCGCACAATGAAGGAACAAAACCCCGCAAGATTGTGTATTTCATAGCTCAACCTGACGAGGCTGAGGGTTATTTTCCTAACAGATTCAGGAAAGACTTCAGAAGGGAACATCCGCTGAGGGTAGCTGTCACATAAACCAATCTCGTGGTATTCCTGGTTCCCTTCCATAGGGTAGAGAGCGTGGACAGCAGCATCCAGCCGCACAATCGCTGAACAAATCGGCCATATCATCCTTTCCCACAAAACCCACAACTTCCTTCCAAACACAACAAGCGGCGGGTACCATATCTTCCTTTCCTGTGAAACCCACACCTTCCTTCCAAACACAACAAGCGGGCACTACGAGTGTATTTGAACGACCCCTCTTTTCAATGCACGGATCAAGGGCCTGCTCCACTACTCACCACATGCACAAAAGACAAAAAAAAAATACGGCGGTGTACCTATCCATTTTCTTGCGGAAGATTCACTCTCATTTTGCACATTTGGTGAGTCCTGCAGCGAGGCCGAAAGTTTCGGCATCCTATTCAGAAAAAGGCCAAGGGGTGCACTTCAAGTGATTTCTGGCTCTACAGATCAAATAGTTCAAGTGTAGAGCCAGAAAACACTTGAAAATACTTCAAATGGAGTTCCAGAAAACACTTGAAAATACTTCAAGTGGAGAGCCAGAAAACACTTGAAGTGCACGCCTTTCCGGGTTTCAAAAACAACGTTTATCGTAAAGAGTAACGTCACCTTAAGGACAAGGTTTCAGTGGATATCAACCGGATTGATGCTCCCCAGAACATATTTTCTGTGCTTAGCCTTCATTCTTTCGCTCTGCTTATCACACCAGGTCTTTAATGCAATTCCAGTCTCCAAACATTTTTTTTTTTTTCCCCTCTTTCTGTCTAAGCTTCTCTGATTTACACTCCGCTGGTTCTCTGATCTTGCTCTTTACAGTTATACAGTCGTCCTGAGCTCTTGGTCCCGGGTTGATGGGGGACTTATTCCTCCTGCAGAATTCTGGGTCTCCCTTCTTATGTTCGGTGTCTTCTACCGTCTTCCCCCGAACATAACGCACCCTGACAATGAGTGTACACAAGCAATCTTTCCGGTTCGGTACAGTCATAATCAGGGTGAATTGTGTTCGGAGGAAGACGGTAGCTTGACTTCTTTGCTCTCTTATTCAGATAGATTTCCTCACTATGATTTTCTTGTTTCTTATGCTACCTCCCTTTGATTTCCACCTCCTGTATTGCCCCCCATTCGTTTTCCATACTGAGCTTTTTTCCTTCCCGCGCTTTTTCTCTCCTTTTCAACACCTCCCTGTATTCCCGCCATCCCCTTTTCATACTGAGCTTTTTTCCTTCCCGCGCTTTTTCTCTCCTTTTCAACACCTCCCTGTATTCCCGCCCCGGCATTCCCTTTCCATACGGAGCTTCAGGTTTTTTCCCTTTTAACAAACACGAAGATGCCAAGTGCCTAAAGCAGCAGGGCAGACCATCCACCACCGCACGGAAACCTAATTAGCCCTGACAAGTATTCCCTACTTCAATCAATGTTCCACGGAGAGACATATTTCCCCGTTTAATTCATCCATCTTCCCAGTGAACGTAGATCATTGGCGCAAGCAGGGCATCGAGCTTAGACTTTAATCACAACAACTCAGAGCCAACCACACGGCCGATGCACCACCACCTGGCACGCGTCACGCTGTGTTCCCATCAACTTTTACCAAACTGCACTTCCTTAACTATAGTCAGGAACAGCGGCTCTCCTACATAAATATTCGAAGCCAACTCCGCATTTGCTGAGACTGCCCACAGCTACCATCTTCACCCGCATACAACTCAAGGTCATTATAGCTGTACTTGGGGGACCTTCCAGTCTAGATACTGCGTTCTATTCTAGAGAAGACTGTAGTCCATCCTTTCTTTTTCTGGAAGGGCGACGGCCTTGAGAGATCATCATTGTAACTGAAGGGCGACGGCCTTGAGAGATCATCATTGTAACTGACCGGCCCCAGGTAATTCAGAAGGATTTTGTTACCGGCCTCATCTGACGGGGTATCTGGACTCGAACTAGGGTCTGTATTTCAAAAGTGCATGGGTGTACCAACCGAGTAGTCCATCCTTCTCGACACGTGCTACGCTCGACAAACTCAGGAGACCTCTACGAGGGACCTGCTGCCCATCAATCAATCTTTCTACATTTCGCTGCCCAGCCAAAACCCCACCTCTTTCCTGAGGCAATGCCCGAAAAGGCACCCTGCAAAACACGACATATCAATCATGCAGGGATGCATACAGCCAGGCAACAGACCTGGCAGACGGGGACACGCCCAGCAGACCGGCTGGCAGGCAGGCAGGCAGGCAGGCAGGCATGCATGCATGCAAGCAGGCAGGCAGGCAGGCAGGCAGGCAAGCGGGTAGACAAGCAGGCACGTAGACAAGCACCCAGGCAAACCGGCAGGCAGGCAGGCAGGCAAATTAGCAGCCGGCCATACAGGCAGGAAGCCAGAGAGCGATGCACGCAGGCAGGCCAGCAGCCATGCACGACGGCAGAAAGGCAGGAAGTTAAAAAGGCGGAAAGACGAACAGGACAAACAGCCAGGCAAGCAGGCAAGACATGGTTTTTTGTAACTGTGAATCCAAAGGCCCCTAGTAAAGAGTCAACTCCATACCGTACATTTTCGGTCACATCCACTCCGGGATCCAAGGGAGTTGTTCCTTCAGGCTGTGTCGAGTAAAACCTGCGTAGGCTAAGCAGATACCTAGACCCCTTCCCTACTGGCGAAGCAGCCAGTGCTTCTTTCCTGTTACCAGGTCTCTTTCGAGTTAGGCAGGTACTACGTGTCCATCTCTCTGTGGCCTACTGCAGCGTCTCCTTCGCTATCGCGATAGCGCCTGAGAGAACAAACAGTGCAAAGGAGCAATTCATTTGGTAGTGTCGCGGTCGCCCATTAAAATTAAGAAAGCCATCATTATTAAGGCTGCAAGAGAGAAGCGCGGGTTAGACGGACGCTCTGCGAGTCGGGGAAGTACCTTGAGAAGGGGCGGAGGAGACCAACATGGGGCGGAGGAGCCCAAGATGGCGGAGGAGACCGAGAAGGGGGATAGGAAAGACAGCAGGAGAGAGAGAGAACGAGAGGGGAGAGAGAGAGAACGAGAGGGGAGAGAGTGAGGCGGTCAAACGGCTCCGAGATTCCGAAAGGCACTGAAGGGTAATAGGTGATGGTGATTTGTGATATAGATGGGTAATAACAAATCTGCTTGGAATAGGATCACGGATACTGCAATGCTTATTAGAGCAGGTGGGCCAGGGAGGCTACCAGGTGCTTTGGCCCTTGCACCTGCTATCCTAGGGAGCCCCTCTGGTATGCATCTGCGTACCGCTTAAGAGTTTCCCGGCTAACAGAGGAGCTACCGGAGGAGAACGGGCTTTGGAGGGAACAGAGCTACTGAAAGCAACCCCTCGCTAGGTGTCTCGAACCGCGAGGGCAAGGCTATCCTCCTCTTCTAAACATTGTAATGTTTTATGCTTGCCGGTGATAAGCAACCGGACTGTTGGACCCCAGAATAGAAGAAGGGGGCCCGGGGGTTGGGGCGGGAGAGAGACGGGGGCAAGGAGGAAAGACAGTAGGGGAGACACAGAGAGAGAGCGGGAGAGAGCGCGCGGAAGAGCGCGCTGAAGAGCGCGCGCGGAAGGCAGCGCGCGGGGCAAAGGGCTCCGAGATCCCGGAAAGCACCAAGGGGCGAGAAGAGAAGGGGCCGCGGCAGGGGAAGGAGGGAAAGACACAGAGCAGGAGACGGGGGCAAGGAGGAAAGACAGTGGGGGAGACACAGAGAGAGAGCGGGAGAGAGCGCGCGGGGCAAAGGGCTCCGAGATCCCGGAAAGCACTAAGGGGCGAGAAGAGAAGGGGCCGCGAGGAGAGATACAGGGGAAGGAGGGAAAGACAGAGCAGGAGAGCGAGGGAGGCCGGGGGTGGGCTGTGATAGCGCGAGAGAAGGGGGAGGCAAGAGAGACGGGGACAGGAGGGGAAAGATACCAGGGGAGAGAGCAAGGGGGGGGGGGCAAAGGAGGACAGAGAAAGAGGAGGCAGAGATAGGAAGAACGAGATATAGGCAGAGAAAGCTCCACAGCACGCTTGTGAAGCAAGCTCGATGGGTTTTAAGCTGTTCAGCAGCGTAGATGAGGTGAGCGGAAAAGAGAGACCTGCACCTGGATGGAAAATGGAGAGAGATACAGAGAGGAAAACGGTCACGGGAGACTGAAGACACAGAAATTGAGGTCAGGCGTCAGTGAGGACATAAAGAACAGAGCGCAGAGAGCGAAAGGGGATATTCAAGGACAGTCGAGAGCAAAGGAAGCGCTGGC